TATTGATGATTATGATGATTGTGTTTTCCTATAGCGACGTGCATGCTTCGGTACTTTTGTCACAGAGTTTACCAATTTCTTGGTTTAAAATACTAAGAAAATGGAATACAGAATTGGGGGTTTGCACTTTGAAGTTCGCCATTTAAGACGTGTTGGGGACATTCTTGAACTTAATGGATTTGGTGATGTTAACAATTAATGAAATTATGGAACTAGCAGACTGTCAAAGTTAAGATTGTTACTTTCTTTGTAGACAAAGCAATCGATTAGTGTTTATTATTTTTGTCAGTTGCAGAGTCGTAACCATTGATCTATGAGATGTTCTTTATAGATTCCGGGCCTTGACTACTTCTTCAACTGTTTGTGAATAACGACTTTTGTATAAACAATGGCTTCTTCTTAATTATACAGATGAGAGGAAAAACCTTTCGCCGTGGACCAGAACCAAGCGGACATTGCCGTGTGTGAGTTCCTTAGTGCTCTTGCTTTCCTTTCCTTTTCTTTCTTTGAGAATAATATGTTGGTTTTCTAAATGTTGATTAGTGTCTTCACATTATGCTATAATCGTGTTCTTGATAAGCTCCCAAGTAAATCTTTATATAGCAAAAAGTGGCTGAAACTCAGATTTTGGCTCTTGATATTCATCATTATTGCGAGATAGAGTGAGAGATCACACACTGCAGTCCTTTATACTATTGATAAAAAAAACACAGATGTTTTCGTAACAAAAGTGGTGAATGACTTACAAAAGTGTCGAAGAATCGTATGTCCTGCATAGACTGCTGTATAAATGGAGAATTACATTTGAAAAGCATATTGTTCTACTTTGTCTCTCATTGTGTTTGCTTTCTCACTTAGTTTATTAAAAAACATCGTTCAGTTGACTATCCAGGATGATGATAATGGGTATCAAATGACTCAATTGTGTTCTCTTTTTATTGTCATTCTGAGTCAGATCCTAAAATCTTGATGTCCACTGCCTTGCAGCTTTGTTGGTAATCTCCATCCATCTGTTACTGAAAACACTCTTAAGGACTTTTTCATTATTGCTGGTCCCGTTAAGAGATGCAATGTCATTCACAATGATGAGGTGTGTTACCGAAACTTTACTTTGTCTGGACGCTAGGATATAAATCTTCGATCTGCTCCATCTATGAATGGTTCTTGTCTTGCTCTACAGTCACATTACGGCTATGTTCTCTTTGAGAATCCTCAATCAGCAATCATTGCTATTGGAGTTTTGGATGGAGCTTCTTTGTGAGTCGAATTTGTAAATGTGGAGAAATCATCCATGCGCTTATACCTTTTCGCCATTCTAGCTAATATGCTGTTTTCAGGTTACGTAAGACCTTAATAGTTAGCTGGCCACAACCTACAAATCCGCAGGAGGGCCAAACAAGTATACTTCTCATTATATCTTCATTTCCATCTTTACTTTTGCATTCATATATATAGTTCCTAGACTTACGCTTCAATGATCTCCACGTGGTCATGCAGCCCGCTACTACTATGTTACTGTCAGCGAGCTTGTGCCAGAGATTACTGGTGATGTGTTATATGCGTACTTCTCTGTTTACGACAGTTGTGTGTAAGCACTGCACTGCCTTCGATCTATTTCATTTGGGGTGACATCCCGTGACTGAATTATCAAAATTGGAACTTTCAAGAAGTGTGTTTTCTCTACTGCAGTGAGGCAAAGGTCCTTATGGATGCAAACTCTCAGCCATTGGGTGCTGCTTTGGTTTCTTTCCGTAGCCAACAGGTCTGTAAGTTCTTATTTCGACATTTCCATTGAACTTCGGTTCTACAAACTCATCACTCATTATTTAACATTTTCTTGCTAATGCCTCTCAGCATGCTTGTAGGGCAGCACATGAATTGAACGGTGAGAATGTTTCGCTTGCAAGTAATAATTAATGAATACATCGTAAAAAAACATTAAACATATTTTCTTATTCAACAGGTACAATGCTCGAGGGTAGACAAATTATCTGCGCTTTGTTTCAATTTCCTGCTGCACCGGGCAATGCTGCTCATTCTCAAAATTTAAACCATTTTTCCGAATTATCTACACCAGAACTACCAGGTCCTTCCCTGCATTCCATTCTTTATATCTTTTCAATTTTCATAGTTGTCTTTGGGCTTTCACTATGAATATGATTTCTTATTGCAGTAGAACCATTCCATGTCGAGGGTGAGGTACTACCCGATCCACATTTCAACCTTTCATTCGTTTCCAAGCTTGTTCCCCTCGTAAGCACATCCATTGTAACTAATTATACTAAAGGCCCTGTCTCGTGAAAAAACTCTAATGTGCAGCGAATGTAGGTCACACAAATGCACATGTGGACCTTCTTTAATAGTCTTGGTGCTGGAACGATCGAAAGCTGTAATATTGTGCCGGAGAAGAACTGCGGGTTTGTAAGGTACAGCAGTCAGTACGAAGCAGCGTTAGCTATTATAAAAGGAAAATACAAAAGGTTCTTCTCAGCAACAAGAATCACGGTATCACACATTCTCAGAAATATTTTATGCGTACATCTCGATTCACTCATCTGTTAAATTAAATTAATAATTATCTCACCTAAAATCTCAAGTAGAGATATGAATTATTAACTACATATTATAGTCTTCCATAATTATCGGGCCAAACATGGTACATGGTAATGGTTTTCTTCTAGTGTCATTGGACTGAGTTGCCTACTAAGATATATCACATGTGCTCCCCGGTGCCCCCCGAGCTCACAGCGATGTTAGCATCAGCACGAGTGCGTGCACATCGCCTTTTGAAGGCTCACCTTCGGCAAGCCGGACACTGAACTCGTCGTTGTCGTCGACAGCAGGTCAGGTAATGTGGTAAGAATGAGTATATACCATACATTGGTTTTGTACATACCATACCTTAGGTGTTTTGTGTTCTTGATAGGTTGCCATGGACACAATTAAGAAGTTTTCTTGAACATACTTAGGTGTTTAGTCTGTGAGCTTGTTCTCTTTGGTAGATTGATATGGGCACAAATAATACGATCATTTTTTTGCAGTGTGGATTAAAAATCCTTTTAACTAAATTAGTTAATAGGTAAATTATGCTCTTTTCGTCGGTTTCTAAAAGTCACATTTTGGATTGGGCCTAATTGTAAATGGGCTTACATTGTCATGAATATATATATAATCAAGATTGGGCCCTTTGGGCTGTTTTCCTTTTCTTCTAATTTCCTCTGGAAAAAAAAAAAAAAAAAAAATTCCAAAAAATTTTCTTGGTTCGGTTCGTGAAGGGATCGTGGATTCCTAATTGATTCGTTTTATCCTAGAAAACAACCGATGACGGACCAAATTTGCTTCGAGGAGATCGCGTACAACGCGAAACTCGAATATATTCTCAATCAGATCTATTATTTGATTTTGATTTGAGCATCTCGATTTTCAATAAATTTTTCGTCTAACAATTCTTTTATACAAATATCCTTCTATTAGTATTATAAGACACTAATTGAGATATTTTTGTAATTTTTTCTTAATTTATACTCCGTTTTGATATAATAATTAATATTCAAAAATTAATAAGCAAAAAGTAAATGAGACATTTGGAGCTGGCCGGACATAGTATAACATCACACAAAACACTCTTGTATTTTATTTATTGCGGAAAATTCCCTTATATTAATGTAAATTTTGCACAAAACACCTCACCAAAACTAAATAAAGATCTAAGTTTTGTATTTTTACAAATTTTTTACAAATATCTTTAAAAAAAATTTTGAATAAAATAAATAATATGTAATTGACTAATTCTTTATAGTATTTGGTTGATTTTTATAAAAATTATAAAAATAAACTATTCATCAATGATTTGTTTATTTATTTTATTAAAATAAATTAGTTAAGAAATTTTACGATTTTTATTTGTATAAAATTTGCGTATTTTGTTTTTGGACAAGAAGAAGTTTCATACCAATTTTACATTACTTATTAACTAATTAGGCCAACTATTATTCTTAAGTTCACTTTTAAGCTATAAGTCCAATTAATTGCAAATACTTTTATTAATTAATTTATTTGGTTGACATGCATTTCGACTCATCAATTAATGGGTTTCAATGAATATTGAGTTTAATTTATGCCAATTATATTTTATCTGCTATTCATAATCGATTAATATTGATTAATCAAAAGTTTCAATATTTACATATTACAGGAAATTTGTCTCGAATTTGAATTTAAGAGTGTTATTTTGAAGTTTGATTAGGTTTTTTTTTTTTTTCAAAAAAAAAAAAATATTCTGTAAGAAAATATGTATATATATATATATTTATTTTTATTATAAAAAAAATTCAAATATGAGCAAAATATTTATTAAAAATGTAATAGAAAGAGTGTTTAAGTTTTGGAAACAACATACACAATAATAATGAAAAAAATTAATACGTAAAAAATAAGAAAACAAGATTGATAATTAAAAAAAATAAAAAACATATAAACAATAAAAATAAAATTAATATATACCTAAAATTTATTATAATATTCTATATGAATTCTCTAAATATTTTTTAAATAAAAAAACTCAATATTTTTAACATAGCTTACAAAATAAAAAAAATATATATATATATAATGCTTGAAAATAAATCTTTTACAAAGAACACGTATATAATACTACTTTCGTCCACCTATAAAGTATATATATTTTTATTTTGAGATATTGAATTACAAAATAACTATTTCATTGAATATTCTATTTTTTTTTTTCAAATACCCTTAATTTATATCTCGCATCATTACTTTTATATAAAAAAATAAGGGCAAAATTATTATTACATTATCTTCCCACTATAATTAAAACTCGACTTAGAAGTATATGGGCCGGGTCCAGTAACACGGGCCGAAGAGCGGTACTCAAACGAAAACCGGTTGCACGGGCAGAGCGATGCAGGTGATTACTCCCCCCTTGAGCTATAAAATTCACTCTGAACGCACTCAACGCAGGCAGCAACGATCTCTGCTATTCTTCTCTGTTCTTCGTTCTTCATTCTACTTCTTCTCCGAAGAGACTTCTTTGACTTTTGAGGGTTTCTGCATTCCTTCGCCAACATTATGAATCTTGGAAAGCCACAGACTCCTTCGTCTTCTCAGGTTGCCTTCCCTGTGTTTTTGTCTTTTACCAGTTTTGGTGAAATGTTTGTTACGTGAGGTCTGGTGAGAAGAGTATAATGTAATTTAAGACCTGTAGCTTGTAATTCAATTACTTGAACGTAATAGTTTTTGAAGATATTGATTCAGAGTGAATTTGAATTCTTTTGACTCTGTTAGTTGACTATGAGATGATTGGGCATTTTGTGGTTGTTGGCGATTATAGCGGCTACGTGAAGAATCACGGAATCATTGTCTTGTTTTTCTTTTTAGTTTGTTTTGTTGCTTATTGATGATTATGATGATTGTGTTTTCCTATCGCGACGTGCATGCTTCGGTACTTTTGTCAGAGTTTACCAATTTCTTGGTTTAAAATACTAAGAAAATGGAATACAGAATTGAGGGTTTGCACTTTGAAGTTCGCCATTCAAGACGTGTTGGGGACATTCTTGAAGTTAATGGATTTGGTGATGTTAAAAATTAATGAAATTATGGAACTAGCAGACTGTCAAAGTTAAGATTGTTACTTTCTTTGTAGACAAAGCAATCGATTAGTGTTTATTATTTTTGTCAGTTGCAGAGTCGTAACCATTGATCTATGAGAAGTTCTTTACAGATTTGGAGCCTTGACTACTTCTTTAACTGTTTGTGAAGAACGAATTTTGTATTAACAATGGCTTCTTCTTAATTATACAGATGAGAGGAAAAACCTTTCGCCGTGGACCAGAACCAAGTGGACATTGCCGTGTGTGAGTTCCTTAGCGTTCTTACTTTCCTTTCCTTTTATTTCTTTGAGAATAATATGTTGGTTTTCTAAATGTTGATTAGTGTCTTCACATTATGCTATAGTCGTGTTCTTGATAAGATCCCAAGTAAATCTTTATATAGCAAGAAGTGGCTGAAACTCAGATTTTGGCTCTTGATATTCATCATTATTGCGAGGTAGAGTGAGAGATCACACACTGCAGTCCTTTATACTATTGATAAAAAAAACAAAGATGTTTTCGTAACAAAAGTGGTGAATGACTTACAATGGTGTCAAATAATAGTATATCCTGCATAGACTGTGCTGTATAAATTGAGAATTACATTTGAAAAGCATATTGTTCTACTTTGTCTCTCATTGTGTTTGCTTTTGCACTTAGTTTATTAAAAGTCATCGTTCAGTTGACTATCCAGGATGATGATAATGGGTATCAAATGGCTCAATTGTGTTCTCTTGTTATTGTCATTCTGAGTCAAATCCTAAAATCTTGATATCTACTGTCTTGCAGCTTTGTTGGTAATCTCCATCCAGCTATTACTGAAAACATTCTTAAGGAATTTTTCACTATTGCTGGTCCAGTTCATAGCTGCGCTGTTTTTCACAATGATGAGGTGCGTTACCGAAACTTTACTTTGTCCGGACGTTATGATATAAATCTTCGATCTACTCCATCTATGAATGGTTCTTGTCTTGCTCTACAGTCACATTACGGCAATGTTGTTTTTGAGAATCCTCAATCAGCAATCATTGCTATTGGAGTTCTGAATGGAGCTTCTTTGTGAGTCGAACTTGTAAACGTGGAGAAATCATCCATGCATTTATACCTTTTCGCAATTCTAGCTAATATGTTGTTTTCAGGGTAGGTAAGACCTTAATAGTTAGCTGGACACAACCTACAAATCCGCAGGAGGACCAAACAAGTATGCTTCTCATTATATCTTCATTTCCATCTTTATTTTTGCATTCATATATATAGTTCCTAGACTTACGCTTTGATGATCTCCACGTGGTCATGCAGCCAGCTACTACTTTGTCACTGTCGACGAGTTTCTGCCAGAGATTACTGGTGATGTGTTATATGCATACTTCTCTGTTTACGACAGTTGCGTGTAAGCACTGCACTGCCTTCGATCTATTTCATTTGGGGCGACATCCCGTGACTGAATTATCAAAATGGGAACTTTCAAGAAGTGTGTTTTCTCTATTGCAGTGAGGCAACTGTCATTTTGGATGAAAACTCTCGGCCAATGGGTACTGCTTTGGTTTCTTTCCGCAGCCAACAGGTCTGTAAGTTCTTATTTCGACATTTCCATTGAACTTCCATTCTACAAACTCATCACTCATTATTTAACATTTTCTTGCTAATGCCTCTCAGCATGCTTGTAGGGCAGCACATGAATTGAACGGTGAGAATGTTTCGCTTGCAAGTAATAATTAATGAATACATCGTAAAAAAACATTAAACATATTTTCTTATTCAACAGGTACAATGCTCGAGGGTAGACAAATTATCTGCGCTTTATTTCAATTTCCTGCTTCACCGGGCCGTGCTGCTCATTCTGAAAATTCACACCATTTTTTCGAATTATCTACGCCAGAACTACCAGGTCCTTCCCTGCATTCCTTTCTTTAAATCTTTTCATAGCTGTCTTTGGGCTTTCACTATGAATATGATTTCTTATTGCAGTAGAACCATTCCATGTCGAGGGTGAGGTACTACCGGATCGACATTTCAACCTTATATTAGTTTCCAAGCTTAGTCCCCCCGTAAGCACATCCATTGTAACTAATTAATACTCAAGGCCCTGTCTCGTGAAAAAACTCTAATGTGCAGCGAATGTAGGTCACACAAATGCACATGTGGACCTTCTTTAATAGTCTTGGTGCTGGAACAATCGAAAGCTGTAATATTGTGCCGGAGAAGAACTGCGGGTTTGTAAGGTACAGCAGTCAGTACGAAGCAGCGTTAGCTATTATAAAAGGAGACTACAGAATGTTCTTCGGAGCAGCAAAAATCACGGTATCACACATTCTCGCAAATATTTTATGCATACATCTTGATTCACTCATCTGTTAAATTAAATTAATGATCATCTCATCTAAAACATTAAGTAGAAATATGCATCATTGACTACATATTATATATACATCGTAATGGTTTTCTTTTAGTGTCACTGGACTGAGTGGCCTAATAAGATACATCACATGTGCTCCCCGGTGCCCCCCGAGCTCACAGCGATGTTAGCATCAGCACGAGTGCGAGCGCATCGCCTTTTGAAGGCTCATCTTCGGATATCTGGACACTAAACCCGCTGGATTCGTCGTTTTCGTCGACAGCAGGTAATGAGGTAAGGAGTATATACATTGGCGTTGTACATACCATACCTTAGGTGTTTTGTTCGAGTTTGTGTTCTTGATAGGTTGACATGGGCACAATTAATAACAACTTTTTTAGGCTCTGCTAATTTTGTGTATGAATTACTCAAATATTGTTCAAAGACAAAAACTTAAAATTTAAATATAATTTACAAAATTGAAAAAAAAAAAAATTATTAGAATATAACACCTGGAACCAAATTAAATTATATATATATATATACATAATACGAATTAAAAATAAATAAATTATGATACTCAAGAAAGAAAATATAATGCTAAAGTGAAGTCTCTAATGTGTAAGGTCTAAATAGCTATTTGTGCTAAGCCATTTAAATTCCATCTACGTGGCACATTTGTCCTGACCTTGCGGAAGTGTACAGATAATGCACAAAATATCCTTACGTATATTTAATTATTTATTTTGTTAATAAAATATATTTATATATTTACAAAAATCTTTATTTATGTATTACATGATAAGTATAGGTGTGTTCTTTTTGGTTGATGTTGGGGTACAAATTCGTTTTACATTGAAAGTGAAAAAAATTTCTCAGTCTTATAAGTTTCAAAGTAAACGTCACTAGTATGAGGCTCAAAGTTAACAATATTAAAATATTGTTTGCTAGAGAAAAAAATGTATTTTTTTTTTTTCCGAAAAATACAGAGTCTAAATAGTAAAGTTTAAAAAAATTTAGGTAAAGAAACATACCCAAGTCAATACTAATTTAGGACGATGGTTATAATAAAATAAAGCTAACAGGCTGACCACACATGCTAATCTTTTATACATCTTTTATACATCTGTTGAATATGGGTCTAGAAATACCTGAACGTGAAGGAGGTTTGAAGACAAAAAATGAAACCAGAGCCCCCAGGCCGTGGAGCTATCCAACAACAATGGAACCGTGAAGCTGCCCCAATAACAATGGAGACCGCCCAGTAGCAATAGAGCCTTTAGTCCGTGGAAGCTGTCCAACAACAATGAAGACTGCCTAGCAGCAATGGAGCCTCCAATCCATGGAGACTACCCAACAGTTGTTGAATACTATCACACATTGGTAAATATGTGAGAACTCTCCGACGTGAAGGTTCACTCTACCTATAACTAATTGATTTTAAGTTGGAAATTCGGATCTCCGTTATAACATGATATCAGAGCCATGGTTACCCGTATTTGGTATTGATCCGGTATGGATTTTCGAGATTATCATCTCGATGGGGGAGTGTTGAATATTGTCTCACATTGGTAAATACGTGAGAAGGGTCACTCCACTTATAATCAATTGGTTTTAAGTTGAAACCACTGATCCCTGTCTTAACAACAACAACAACGGAGCTTCAGGCTATGGAGGCGGTGGTTTGACCTAATCTTAACTCCCAAAGACATGGAAGACATAGTTCAAGCCCATGTTTGACAGTAGAGAAACTAAATGAGAAGTTAGAGAGTTTGAAAGAATAACTGCACCACTCTCCCTAGAATTTAGAGATGGTTGACAAAACACAACACAGGACAAGAACATCCAATTTATCCAAATTTAACTCATTCTTAATTTTTTCAATAGTTTATTCAATTATGTCCTACTTGGTATTGTTTTCTTGTTAATTTAAATTTAGTTTCGTGTTAATCTATAGTTCCAGTAGATTTTAGCTTAAATCCTTCAAAATTATCCATCTAGACTCGAAGCCAATTTGACGACGGACAAACTCTTTAGAATACTTTCGGAATCCATACCGACGGAATTTAGAAACGGTATTAGAGTCTGTAAAATTGTGCTATGAATCACTAATCAACAAACTAAAAACTACTATTTAGATAAATTATAGATTAAACCTAAAGATTTTGACTCTTTTTGAGAATTCTGGAAAGTTCTTTGTAGATTTCAATAGTCTTGCCAATTGGACCCATTGTTTGGGCTTCTTTTTATCACAAATTTGAGGTATTCTCGATCATTCTAAACTATTTTATTTTTTATATTATCATATATTTTTTTTTCATAATAATACTTCATCAGTCTCACCTATATCATATCATATTCATATTGTCGTTTCATGTCATTTTTTTTTTGAAAAATAATTATATATCTTATTTTTATTTTAAATTTTTTAATTAATTTTTTTTATTTTAATTTATAGGATAATTATTTTCACTGATACATTCTCAATTATCTACGAATTATAATTATTTTAAATTCTTCCGTCAATATCCCGAGCATTCAATATGGGACGAAATGAGCAATAATAGCTGGTTGATGAAAAGATCTTGAACATGGGATTCAGTAAGGTGTGTTTGTTTGGGGGTTTGGATTTTAGATTGAGATTTGAATAGTAAAAATTTTGAATTTGAATAGTTGTATGATGTGATATAAATAGGGTTTGATGCGATGTTTTGAATGTAAAATTAATTTTTAGTATAATATAAAAAATGAAAAATAGGTGTTTGATTTGATGTTTTTGGGGGGAAAAAATTGGATGAATAGTGGAAATCCTCCAAAATCCTTCAAACAAACACACCCTAAGAGAATGGAGATTGCTAACAAAACATATGTTGTAAATAATTCTTTTTTTTTTTGTTTTTCCTCCAAGATACACAATTCGAGAGATGAGACAAACACAACATTCATAATTAATAATACGAAGGGAACCTGAGAATATGAAGAAGTGATCTCCTCCTCCATCCATTAATTACTTAATTATCACAAGGAATTATTAATAAAAAAAGAAAAGAAATCCATCCCAAAAGAAAAGAAGAAAATATGTTGGTCGTGTCAAAAATATATCTAACGCCAGAGAAAAAACTGGAAATTAAAGAAAATGCTGAAATTTTATCAAAGAAAACTGTAAAGAATAAAAGTTTGGTAGGTGAATATACAATTTCTAGTTTGAAAAATTACACAAAAATAATGCAGAGAAAATTAGGAAAAATAAGGATTGATGAATTTGAATGGCGTCTCTTTCTGCTTCTTGATTTTCTTCTATAAATGTTGTTATTTTTTGAATTTCTTTTGGATAAAATTTTATCCTTAATTTTCCTTCAACAACTTTCATTTCTATCATCTTTCATCCATTGATTGAGCACCAGCTGCAAGCTAGATCATTGGGCTAGTTGGGTCTACAGCCCACTCGCTGATCTAACTTTATTGGGCCGCAAATCTCGAGGATTTCCGCCAGTTGGATCATTGGATTAGTCGGATCCGTAGGCTCACTCGCTGATCTGAACCTTTGGCTGGGCTACGAATCTTGAGGGCTTTCGCCAGCTGGGTCATTGGGTTAGTTGGGATCGCAGGTCCACTCGGTGATCTGGACCTTCCGATGAATCTCGAACCTCAAGTGTTTTTGCCGGCTAAGTCATTGAAGGTCTGTATGATAACTCATTGCTGTGGATCTTCTGCTGTGTCGCCAACCTTAGGACTCAGGCTGTACTAATACCGGGCCCAATTAATTTTAGTGTGTACACCTGTAGTGGAAGAAGACGAAGAAAGAATTAAACTGAAGAAGAGCTGAATATATATATTATATAAATATATATAGGAGAGACGTTAGTTAGGCTTGGCTTGGCTTGACTGAGTATTATTTTATTTATTTATTTATTTATTGATTTATTTATTAATAGTTAAAAAGAAAGGGAACATCGAAATATTATGTCGTGGAAATAAACTACTTACCCCAAATATTGAGTGATCGATTTCGTTCTTTCTTCTTCTTGATCTATCAATCTAGCAGCTCTTTTTCTTTTCTTTTTTATTTTGATTTTGAGTTTAAATTTAAATAAATAAATTTTGAATTGAAATGTGTTTTAAATAATGTAAAATAAAGAATAATTTGATTTTGATATTTTTAAAATAAATTTTTTCAAAGGGGTAAAATCCAATCCAAAATCCCAAAACAAACAAACCCTTGATTAATTGGTATTAATCGATTATGAATAATAGAATATAACTTAAATAAATTAAATTCAAAATTCAGTGAAATCAACTGATTGGTACGCAAGTAAGCCAAATAAATTAATTTAAAAAATATTTTCATTTAATTGGCTTTATGTGTTCGTTTTGGAGCTTTGAATTTGTGATTTAAACAATAAAAAATTTAAATTGAAATAATTGTATAATATAATATAAATAGATGTAAAACTAATTTTTAATATAATATAAAAAATAAATATTTAATTTGATAAATTTAAATAATAATAATAATAATAATAATAATAATAAAGATCTTAAAAATATCTCCCAAAATACTACAGTTTCTATATTAACATAGCCTAAAGAAGTTCGTATTAATTGTGCCTATGTCAATCTGCTAAAGAGGATAAGCTCAGACTAAACATATAACTATGATCTTCCCTTCTAGTACAAATCTATTCTCACTTTCTTTTTTAATTGTCATCCATATTTATTTTTGTTTCATTTTTTAGTAAAAAAAATACTAATTTTTATACTTCTTTCTACCAAAAAAGTAAAATTTTCTATATTTACCTATTTTTTAAAAAATTTTATGTCAGGTCAAATCAGCACACAATTGAATGACAGAGGAGTACAAGAAACTTCTTAATTGTGTCCATGGCAGCCCATCAAGAACACAAGCTCAAACTAAACACCTAAGGTATGGTATGTACAACACCAATGTATATACTCATTCTTACCACATTACCTGACCTGCTGTCGACGACAACGACGAGTTCAGTGTCCGGCTTGCCGAAGGTGAGCCTTCAAAAGGCGATGTGCACGCACTCGTGCTGATGCTAACATCGCTGTGAGCTCGGGGGGCACCAGGCCTCTCCGACGCAGTGTCGGAGTAGGCCTCTCAAACCATTGACACTACAAGAAAACCATTACAATGTACCATTTGTTGCCCAATAGTTTTTGAGTATATGATGGAAGACTATATAATACTACTTTCGTTCGGCTCTAAAAGTCTTATTTATTTTTTGCGTGTTAATTTTTTAATATTAATTATTATATGAAAACGTAGTAGGAAAAAGACAAAAATATTTCTATTAGTGTCTTGTAATACTATTATAATGATATTTGTACAAAAAATTATACACATATAAAGATATTTTTAATGTTAAGTACAATAAGTAAATGAGACTCTTAGAGCCGGACCGATGGAATATGTAATTAATAATGCATATCTTTACTTAAATTTTTAGGTGAGATGATCATTAATTTCACAGATGAGTGAATCGAAGGAAGGCAATGTAGGCATAAAATATTTGTGACAATGTGTAATACCTTGATTGTTGCCCCGAAGAACCTTCCGCAGCATCCTTTCAGAATAGCTACCGCTGCTTCGTACTGACTGCTGTACCTTACGAACGCGCAGTTCATGCCCTGCACAACCTGACAGCTTTCGATCATTCCGGCACCAAGATCGTTGAAGAAGGTCCACAGGAGCTTTTCTGTGACCTACATTCGCTGCACATTAGCGTTTTTCGCGAGACAGGGCCTTTAGTATTAATTAGTTGCGATGGATGAACTTACGCCGGGATTAAGTTTGGAAACATGTATAAGGCTGAACTGTGGATCCATTTGTTCCTCATCTTCGACATTGAATGGTGTTACTGAAATAAGTCATCATATTCATAGCTCACCCTACAGCTAGCGAAAGCCCGAAGATTTAAAGTATGGAATGAAGGGAAGGACCTGGTAGTTCAGGTGAAGATAATCCGGAAAAATGGTGTATATTGTAAGAATGAGCAGCGCTGCATGGTGCAGCAGTCGATTGATCCAAAGCGCAGAGAATTTGTCTACCCTCGAGCAATGTACCTGTGGAATAAGAAAGGATGTTGTTTCGTTGTTTTTTTATGACATCGTCATTAATTACTTGTAAGCGAAACATTCTCACCGTTCAATTCATGTGCTGCCCTATAAGCATGCTGCGAGGCACAAGCGAGAGAATGTTCAGTAATGAGTTTGTAGAACCGAAGTTCAATGGAAATGTCGAAATAAGAACTTACAGACCTGTTGGCTACGGAAAGAAACCAAAGCAGCACCCAATGGCTGAGAGTTTGCATCCATAAGGACCTTTGCCTCACTGCAGTAGAGAAAACACACTTCTAGGAAGTTTCCATTTCGATAATACAGCCACGGGATGTCGCCCCAAATGAAATAGATCGACGGCAGTGCAGTGCTTACACACAACTGTCGTAAACAGAGAAGTACGCATATAACACATCGCCAGTAATCTCTGGCATAAGCTCACCGACAGTAACATAGTAGTAGCTGGCTGCATGACCACGAGGAGATCATCGAAGCGTAAGTCTAGGAACTATATATATGAATGCAAAAATAAAGATGGAAACGAAGATATAATGAGAAGCATACTTGTTTGGCCCTCCTGCGGATTTGTAGGTTGTGGCCAGCTAACTATTAAGCTCTTACCTAACCTGAAAACAGCATATTAACTAGAATGGCGAAAAGGTACAAGCGCATGGATGATTTCTCCACGTTTACAAGTTCGACTCACAAAGAAGCTCCATTCAGAACTCCAATAGCAATGATTGCTGATTGATGATTCTCAAAGACAACATAACCATGTGACTGTAGAGTAAGACAGGAACCATTCACATATGGAGCTGATCAAAGATATATATGTTGAGAATTAAACTTATTGGATAAAAAAACGCAAGATAAACATCCCCATTCACTTTGACAAGCTTTTTGTAATTCTTCTTTTTCATTCAAAACGATGGAATCGACTCTTTCGCAACATAAAAAATAATAAATTTGACAAAGCTGTACGAAATGAAATGTTATAATATTTTTTTGATATGCGCCAAAGTGATGGAAATGAAAGAATCTCTTTTACATATTTGTCTACTTTATCTTTTTTATTTTGAAAGTAAAAAAAGAAAGATATCTTTACTCAAAATAAATTCATCTAATGAACTTTACAATTCATCGGTTTTCACCAAAAAAACAAAAAGGGAAAAGTTTCAACTATAAATTTATAAATCCAAGTGAAGTTCTAAACAAAGAATCTATTTCCTTGAATATGTTTGATATAAAATTAAAAATTGAAAATAAAAGTATCAACTATTTTATTGTTTCTAATGAACGTTGGTGGGGATTGGTGGAAAAGTTGGTGACCTACCAACTATGCATTGAACAAATTTTATTTTATATTTTTTATGTTGGTAAATAGAATTAATATTAATATTAGTAAATAGATTTGAAGTCCTAATTACTTAGTTTGCAAGTCATTTGGATCAATCAAGTGTGTTCTCTTCTAATTATCTCTTGTTCTCTCCACAAAATAGCTTCTTATGTCTTTACGTTTTTTTTGTAGTGTTCTTCCTCCTTTTATTCCAACAATATGTCCTAACGAACGGACAAAGTAAAGTTTCGGTAACACACCTTATCATTGTGAATAACATTGCATCTCTTAACGGGACCAGCAATAGTGAAAAATTCCTTAAGACCGGATTCAGTAAGAGCTGGATGGAGATTACCAACAACGCTGCAAGGCAGTAGATACCCAGATTTTAGGATTTGACTCAGAATGACTATAAAAAGAAAACACAATGAAGCCATTTGATACCTGGTATCATCATCCTGGATAGTAAATGTAACGATGATTTTTAATAAACTAAGTTAGAAACCAAACACAATGAAAGACAAAGTAGAACAATATGCTTTTCTATATGTAATTCTCAATTTATACAGCACAATCTATGCAGGACATACGATTATTCGACACCATTATAAGTAATCCACCACATTTGTTACGAAAACATCTGTGTTTTTTTATCAATGGTATAAAGAACTGCAGTGTGTGATCTCTCACTCTACCTCCCAATAACTATGAATCTCAAGAGCCAAAATCTGAGTTTCAGCCACTTTTCTGTTATATAAAGATTTACCAGGGATCTTATCAAGAACACGACTATAGCATAATGTGAAGACACTAATCACCATTTAGAAAACCAACATATTATTCTCAAAGAAATAAAAGGAAAGGCAGAAAGCTAGAGATGGGAACTCACACACGACAATGTCTACTTGGATCTGATCCACTGAGAAAGTTTTGTCTTGTTGTCTGTAAAATTAAGAAGAAGCCACTTTAAATACAAAATTTATTCTTCACAAACAGTGAAAGAAAGTAGTCAAAGCACTAATTATAAAGAACCGCTCATAGATCAATGGTTGCGAGCGACTCTGAACCTGACAAAAATTATAAACACTAATCGATCCTTTCTCTACAAAGAAAGTAACAATTTTAATTGACAGTCTGCTAGTTCCATAATTCCATTAATTGTTAACATCACCAAATCCATTAACTTCAAGAATGTTTTCAAATTCTGTATTCCATTTTCTTCGTATTTTAAAACAAGAAATTGGTAAGCTCTGCAACAAAAGTACCCAAGAATGCACGTCGAAATAGGAAAACACAATCATAATCATCAATTAGCAACAAAACATAACAAAACAAACAGTTATTCTTCACGTAACCGCTATCATCGCCAACAACCACAAAATGCCCAATTAATCATAGGCAAGTAACAGAGTCAAAAGAACTCAAATTCACTCTGAATCAATCTCTTCAAAAACTATCATGTTCAAGAAATTAAATTACAAGCTACAAGTCTTACATTACATTATACTCTTCTCACCTCACTTAACGTAACAAACATTTCACCAAAATTGGTAAAAAGAAAAACGCAGGGAAGGCAACCTGAGAAAACGTAGGAACCTGTAGGTCTTCAAGATCCATAATGTTGGCGAAGGAATGCATGTCCTCAAAAATCAAAGAAGCGTCTTCGAAGATGTAGAAGTAAAACGAAGAACGAAGAAGAATAGCAGGGATCGTTAGTTCGTTACCATATGCATTCACAGTGTGTTTTATAGCTCAAGGGTGGAGTAATCACCTGCATCGCTCTGCCCGTGCAACCGGGTTTCGTTGAGTACCACTCTTTTGGCCCGTGTTACATTATTTTTGCTTCATTTATTTTATTACTCACTTTCGCCTATCTCCGACTTAGACACACAAATTTACAATAAATATAATTAGCAAATAATTAAAATATTTTAGTGAAAATAGTTATTTTATTATATAAATTAAGATTAAAATAGCTAATTAGTTAATTAAAATTAAAAAATCTAAAATAAAATTAAAATGTGTAATAATTTTTCAAAAAATAAAAATGACATGAGATATGAAATGAATAGAAACGACAATATAGACACTGAAGTATTATAAATACTTATCAAATGTTCATGGAGGGAGAGTCTTTTAAATATTATTAAAAAATATATATATAATATATATACATTAATTTAATAAATATATATTTTTATCTATTTACAAAAAAAAATTAATGTAAAATATTATTAATATATATACTTTACCTATTTACAAAAATTTAATAATTTAATATAAAATAATATTATTATTTACATATTTTTCTGTATCCAAAATAAAAATTATATTCATCTAGAAACAAAAATCAGCAATCTCATTATGATTATATATATATATATATATTTTGATAATTTAGGAATCCGCAGTTCCTATCGGAAAGTATGTATTGAGTAAACCCAATCGAAGCTAATACCCTACAACTAAGGAGTGTGTTTCTTTAACCTCAAATCTTAAATTTTGACTATTTTAGAATATGCCTTTCTCAAAAAAATATTTTTTTTTCTACAAAATATTACATTATACATTATTTTAATATTGAACTAAAACCAAAATTTTTCAAATTAAATAAATAAAAAAAAACATACTCACGTAAAGTATGTGTGCTCATGAATAGTATCAATTATATTAGCAATGCGGAATAAAAATCCTTTTAGCTATTTAGTTAATTACATTGCTTATTAACTAATTAGTCCAACCATTATTCTTTAAACCCACTTTTACATTTATCTGACTTATATATATTTTCACCAACCAATTAATCGATTTCAACAAATTTTAAATTTAAATTTATGTTATTTATGTTAATTATGTTCTATTGATTATTCATAATCCGTTAAATCTATTAATCAAAACTTTCAATAGCTAGGCATATTACATGAAATTTCATCTCGAACTCGAATTTAGGAGTGTTATTTTGAAATTTGATTAATTTCAAACTCAAATATGAGCAAAATATTTATTAAAAATGTAATAAAAAAGAGTGTTTTAGTTTTGGACATTTTTTTTTATCTTAATTTTTTAATTATAAAAATAAATTGATATTTTACCCCTAGTGTTTTTTTAGTCAATCGGTTAAACTTTTAGGTTATTATTCATTTTGGCAATGTTACTATATCTAAAAAGAAACCTGAATTATATTTTTATATTTATCACTTTATATTAATATTTTTGTCTGACCTAACATGCTACTGGATGGAATGAGTAATATTTTATATTAAATTATTAATTTTTTAATTTATAAAATATATATTGTATGGTGTATAATACAAATTTATTGTATTTTTTAAATAATATGTATAAAGAATCATATTTATATAAAACATAAAAGAAAATTAAAAAAAAAAAAAAACCATAGTTGAATGAATACTGTTTATTTTAAAAAGTTACATTCTAAAATATTTTTAAAAAATAAAACTTAAATGGTACAAAATTCACAAGTTTATTTTTAGCTTAGTGATATAACCAATGTAGCTAAATAATTAATCAAAGTACTATTTGAATCTTGAGTTTTATTCCCTTTTGTCTCACCTAAATTGTTTACTCTTTTTATTTCGGTCTCTCTCACATAATTTGTTGTTATTTTTTTTATACTTTACTTATATTTTAAATTTTATAATTTATAATTTTATTAATTTTAACTAAACTATTTAAGTACGTTTAATTTTAATCGATAATAATTTTTATTATAAAATAATTATTTTTTTAATATATTTTTTAATTACTTGATAGTTTGTATTTTTATATCTATAGTAATGTGTGAGATTTATGGAATATTTATTATAATAACTTCAAAGCAACATGTTTTCCAATCAAAAACCGGTTGCAAGAAGCTAGCGTGCTACGCAGGAGCAGGAGATTATTGCCCATTTTGTGGGGATATAAATATACTCTCGAAAGCGCGCGGCATGGAATGCTCTATGCTCTGCTTCTCTTCTTTTTCGTTCTACGTTCACTTCTGCATTTGAGAGAGTTTCTGCATTCCTTGGAGAAAGAAGATAATGGATCAGGTCAGGTGATTCCTCCTTCCGTTGCCTTCCCTGCGAATTTCTTATCTTTCCCCAATAATTTTACGTGAAATGAGTGTAATGTAAGGTTTGTCGACTTGTAACTGATTAATTTAACATAATAATGGTTTGCTGAGAGATTAATTTGGGGTAAATTTGAATCTGTGTGATTCTATTAGTTGAGATGATTGAGCATTTTAGGTAGCTGATCGTAATAGCAGTTACATGAAGAAACTCTGAATTTTTTGTTGTTCTTTTTTCTGTGGTTGTGTTCATCTCTCGCGATTTCCGTGTTATTTTTTCCAAATGCGGTCGTACCTTTATCGTAGATTTACTGATTTCTTGGTTTAAAACACAAAGGATGATTCAAGAGAGGAAAATGGAAGAAAGGAACGAAGAATTAGGGTTTGCAGATGTACAAGTAAATGAAGAGGCGTATTTACACTGTGTTTTGGAACTTTCTTGAAGTTAATGGATACGGTGATGTTAAAAATGGAACTAACAAACTCTGTCAAAGTAGGATTGTTTTACTTTCCCTTAATGGATTATTCTTTTAGTGAGTTGCAGAGTCAGAACAAGTTTTGGTTAATTTTCACTGTTTGTGAAGAACAAGTTTTGTATTTAACTCTGGTTTCTTCTTAAACATACAGGTATCAGAAGAAATTAATCTCCATGGACCCAATCCAAGAGAACATTGCAGTGTGTGAGATTGTTTTTATACTTCCCTTTCATATCTTAGAGAATTACTATATCGGTTTTCTTTTTTTTTTTTTTAATGTGATCGATGTCTTTGCATTATGCCATAGGTGTGTCCTTGATAAGTCTGCTTATTAATCTTTGTATAACAGAATAGTGACTGCAACACAGATTGCAGGCACTTGATATTCTTCATTATAGGGAGGTAGAGGAAGAGATCACACACTGCAGTTCTTTATACCATTGATAAAACATCGATGCTTTTCGTAACAAAAGCAGCGAATAAATTATAATCGTGGCTAATCTTGGTACATTTTGCATAGCCTGTCGCGGCATCGAATTTTTCTATTTCTATGTGATTCAAATCATAAAATTAGGATATCTACTGCATTGCAGCATTGTTGACAATCTCCATCCATCTGTTACTGAAGCCAATCTTCGGGATTGTTTCATAATTGCTGGTCCTGTTTACAGATGCAATATTATTCACAATTATGAGGTGTGCTATACTTGCTTAATTTGTCGTGATACTTTAGTTTGTCTATTAATTTTACGATCTACTCCATGTATGAATGAATGGTTCGTTACTCAGCAGAGACACTATGGTCATGTGGTCTTTCGTAATCGTCAATCAGCTATCATTGCTATAGGAGTTCTGAATGGAATTAGTTTGTGAGTAGAACTCGTGGAGAATTATCCGTGCCTTATATTTCTTTTCGTTTGGGCTAATTTGTTGTTTTCAGGTTCGAAATGCCCTTAGTAATTAGCTGGCCAAATCCTAGAGGTCGGCAGGAGGATCAAACAAGTATGTTTCTCATTATACAATCATAGAGTCCGTAGATTTCATCTTTGATGACATGTTCGAAACTCCACCGGGCTATACGCAGTCGGGAATTTCTATGTATATGTTGAAGGTCTTCAGCGATGGACTACTGATCATGTGGTATATGCATACTTCTCTGTTTACGACAGCTGTGTGTAAGCAATGTTTTTTCTATTTTCTTTCCGGCGACATCCCATGGCTAAGTTACTCAAATGAGAAGTTCTAAGAAGTGTGTTTTCTCTAATGTAGCGAAGCTAGACGCCTTTGGGGAGCAACCTCTCAGTAGATGAACCTTGGTTTGGTTTCTTTCCGCAGCCAGGAGGTCTGTAAGATTTTTTGTCTACATTTTCTTCGAACTTCAGTTGCTAAACTCGCGCTCTTTGTTTTAACATTATATTACTTGTGGGCGCTCATCAGCATTCTTACCGGGCAGCTCATGAATTGAACGGTGAGAATGTTTCACTTTCGAACAAAGAGTTCACAAGATTTTCAGAGCAAGCAATTGAAATTCAACAAGATAAAAATCCAATCTTTCTTATACAACAGGTTCAATGCTCAATGGCGGACCAATTCGCTGCTTTTTAGATGGATCGAGCGCTGGCATCGCCCCGGTTACAAATTCACTACAATCTCTCGAACTATCGTTGCCTACACCACCAGGTCCTTCCCTTTTAATCTTCAAATAGTTGTCTAAACTTGCTAAGTGTTGGAAATTATCAGTAATTTAACTCTAAGCCCAAGATTTATGGTATTGAAATAATTGAGATAAAGAATAAAGGAAACAAATCTGACCTGATTCCATTAGCGTAGTTGAATTCAGATCTACAAATAAATTGAGGGTTTTGTATTCTTCAAGCGTACAGTGCAACCCCTCTGACCGCGATGAGATATGAAAAGTAATGTATGTTGCGTCCAAAAGTGGGATCACAATCCTAATTTATATTTTTTATTATTAATTGGGCTCATCATCCGATTAATAAGTTACAGGATTTCTGCTTATGGCATGCACTTAGTAAATATATTTAATCCTGATAAATTAATAGATCATTTAATGTAGTTCAAATAGTTACATTTAACCCACAATTGTATTTATAATCCAACATTAAGATCCATTTATTTGTGTTGCACACTTTGATGTCTTTTTGCAGAATTGCAATACGGAATTGGCGAAGAAATCCATCCACAGTTTGCCAATATATGCGTATACAATCTTGCTCCGAGCGTAAGTAAGCACATCCATCGTATCCATTCATATTAAGCTCAATCTCACAAAAAAGTTCGAGCAATCGAACACTTGCAGGTTACAAAACTGTGCTTACGGCGCACCTTCAATAATCTTAACGCCGGGACAATCGAACACTTGCAGCTCGATCCGGGGAGGGGCCTTGGCTATGTTAGGTACACGAGTCAATATGAAGCAGCCTTGCGATTCAGATGGGAAACGGCACAAAATTACACGGTCAAATAATCAAGGTACTATTTGCTATCCACGACGATGTTGGTTAATCAATCTTATTGGCGCAACTTATCATATATATACGACGGTTGTTATTGTGTTGACTATAATTAGTCGGTTAGTATAGTGCCACTGATAGTACAAGATACTTCTTCCGTTAGGGTCACATTTACCTTTTGTGTCGTTATATTTTACATTAAAAAAATTTTCTATTTGTATAATTTTTTTTTTTACAAATGTCCTTTTATTAGTATATAAGACACTAATAGAAGTATTTTTGCAATTTTTTTCTTAATTTGTATTACGTTTTTATATAATAATTAATATTCAAATATCAACATACAAAAAGTAAATGAGATCGCTATAGCCGGACGGAAGTAGTATATGTTTATATTTTCTCCGTCCCTTAACAAACTAATCAATTTTTTCATTTTGATTTGTCTCGTAACAAAGTATAGTATCTATTTCTTTTTTATTTTTATTTCTGCTATATTTCAATATAATACTCTATTTGTCCTTTGTCATTTTCTATTTTCACCCGTCTCAAAACAAGATTATCATTTTATAATATAGTAATTGTACTACTTACCTAACATAATAAATATCCTTCCAATTTATAATATATTGCATAAACGTATTTACTTTTATATTACACAATACAGATAAGAGTATTTTTGTCTTTTTTACTACAACTCAATATAATATTAATATTCAAAAATTTACTTGTAAAAAGTAAACACCACCGTTTCAATGAGACGGAGGGAATACTAATATTTCTAAAACTCTTTTCAAAAAGCAAACGGATAGATAAATATAGGACGTACGGAGTATAATATAAAAACAGAGCATATGCTGGTCAGGCTCGATCAACATCTTAACCATTCGGTCAGGCTCGATCAACATCTTAACCATTCGCGAGCGCATATATATATATATATGAATATTTAAATCTATATAATGAATGTTTATCTTCTAGTGCGAGTGGAGCGTAAGGCCTACTCCGATAGACTCCTCAGCCATTCGACTGCCTCCTGAGCTTGCCCCGGGGTTAGCATCAGCACGAGTTGTAGCACATTGTCGGTTGAAGGCTCAGGTTTTGGGACGCGTTTGCACACTTTAAGCCCGTCGCCATCGTCGTCGACAACCGGTAATGTAGTAAAGACTACGTTGTTTTTCTGTTTTGTAGTCTTGTAGATATATTTGGTGTTTTTAGCTTAAGGTTGTCATAGATTTTATTACATTCTTTCTTGACTTGCATGGCCTTGTGGTGTAAGCACAATCGATGAGAATTGGCACGTACAATTGTAAAAGTGTTGGGTAATGTTTTGTATAAATAGTACATTTTGAGTATTTTTAAAAAGAAAAAATATTTTAATTGTTTGAATATAGTGTAAATATATATTATATTAGATACGTTATTTTACAATAATAATTATAATGATAAAAAATATAAAAGCATTTCCATTATAAAAATATAATGATACAATCATATTTTATACTCCATTTTTGGAATTGTATATTTTTGTACTGTTGGACTGAAAACATTTTGATGAAATGAGATCGAAAGTAAAATTTCGTCTATAGTTTTAGAAATTCATTCAAATTCTAAAAAACCTTGGAAACAAATACACTTCCCAACAGCCTCACAAGCTCTTATTCCATTTCGCAAAAATCCTTCAGATAAGAAGACAGCCTAATTCGCAAAATTAATTATACTCACTCAGAAGAGGTGTACAAGGTAGTGGTGGTCCAGTTCCGACCGGTTCCATTATCGCGCCGCAATGTCCGGAGGGTCGCCGGGAGGACATTCAAGACAGTACGGCGATAACATCCGAGACTCGCAGAGCTATGTATTCGGACCCATCCCCGCCCTTGAACTCATTTCCTGCATATTTTGAGTACAAAACCGTGTTACCTGGCACTACCGATAATGCCTTTCGGTTGCCCTCGTCGTCGAGGAGGCCCGGCCCGACTGCGACAACCTGTAGTTTATAATGCATTTGGGGGAATTCGTAAGAGTGTCGCCGTGTTATTAATTTAGATAAATATAGAAAGCGTGCGTACTGTGCCGATTGACGGCTTCTCCTTGCTTGAATCGGTTAGGTATAGTCCGCCGGGAGTTCTTTCTTCAGCCTCGGCGACCTGATTTCAATGCAGTTCAATTAGGAGTTGTGTTGTTGGTTATATTGAACGATGTTTATATTGAATGGAAATAAAAATGTCGAACCTTTATGAGAACCCTATCGTTGAGAGGCTTCAAGTGTTTGACGTCGTCGGATTCAAGAACGCCGATAATGTCATCCTCTTTAAGAATTAGATGATTTGCGCCGTCGAACTCCACTTCTGTTCCGGCGTATTTTGAGTACACCACTTGGGTTCCGGACTACAATGCATCATAATTTCATAAGTCACCTGGTTCATAATTTCCAAAGAAAATGCAGTGAATTCCGAGAATACCTTTATGGAAATGTCGACTTTCTTTTTTCCTAGAGTTCGGCCCTCTCCGACAGCAACCACCTCGCCCCCTTGAGGCTTTGTTTGTGCTGATGCGGGTAGTAATATACCACCCGAAGTCGTCTCCTCTGCCGTATTGATTTTGACCAAAACTCTGTCGCCCAACGGCTTTAGAGCAGTGTACTGAAAGGTTGAAAATGCATAAGTGCAAGTTCAAATGTTATTGAACAAACCAAATTGTGCCAATTTCCTTCGATATCAAGCACAACAATACCATAACATTTATTCGATTAAGCATGATTCCATTCAATACCAAGCACAAGAACAAATCAAAATTCATCAAAATAGGTGTAATTAATTCCCTTCAATATCAAGCACAAGAACACAACAAAATTCATCAAAATATGTATAATCAATTCCCTTCAACATCAAGCACAAGAGCACAATATCATCCATCAAATTAAGTACGTTTCCCTTTTATATCAACACAATAACACAAAAAAATTAATCAAAATAAGTATAATTCCCCTCAATATCAAGGACAAGAACACAATGCATCATCAAATTAAGTATGATCCCTTTGATATCAAGCACAAGAACACAACAACATTAACCGAAATAAGTATAGTTCCCTTCAATATCAAGGACAAGAGCACTAACATTCATCCCAACATTAAGAAACACAAAGAATTTTAAGGGTTAAAATTTTACATCCAGGAAATGTTAAATCTCCCGTCAATAAAGATAGCTTACATGCGTGGAAAATTTACAGAAGGATGAATAAACTGCTAGAATAATACAAATTCGTTCTCTGACATCGAAAATTTCAATTTGCAAGAGCATTCAATTGGAGAATAGAAATCAGACCCCACGGGATTAATCTAAGCAAGAACAATTAGGGAACCGATGAAATGATACAGTAGAGGTCTTAAAATAGGGGCAACAATCACTGTCCATGATGTCAATATCATATTCATAACACAAAAGGAGGAATTCACGAATAGTTTCAAACGAACGAGAATCTGAATTCGAACACAGAATCGGCAATACTACTGAATTTACCAAACTGTACCTTCGGAGCAACAGTTGTGACAGCCTTGACAGCTAGGCCAGGAAATGACCTAACGCGATGCCCATTCCACTTCAGCGGCAAAAATGAAGATGCCTTCGCCACACTCGTACCTCTAAGACCTTCAAATGTAGCAAACCTATTCGCTGAAATCGAGGATGCAGCAGAAGAAAGCGGTGCAGTCGCCATTGCTTGCTGAATTTAAGAAAAACAAATTTACACAAAACCAATCGATCCGAAGCTGTAAACAACAAATTTTATTGCTAAATTATACCTCGAAACCGGAAAATCGACGCCGACACGAAATGGTAAGATGATCGTCGGAATTGATGACTGTCTGAGAAGAAGTGGATAGCGAAACCCTAGAGAACTTCCGCGACGGAAGATTCTAGAACACCAAAACCGGCCAGCTTAGTGGGCCATCCAAAGCAAGAATATTATTGGGCCTTAAGCCCAATTCGATATGTAAATGTTAGTATTAAAATCAATAAATAAGGGCATCTTCAAAACTCAAATTATTTTTTAATAATGCAAAAATAAAATAAAATAAAATTATATATATACTCCCTCCGTCGTCTCATGTAATATAGGTGTATTACTGTAGACACGAAAATTTAGGTAAAGTATAATTAGTAAGTAATTAAGAAGTATATTAGTAAAAATAATTATTATTTAGTAAAAATAATTATAAATTAAGATTAAGATAAGTAAATAGTTTAATTAGAATTAAATAAATTATAACATTTAAAATTTAAAATGCGATTAAAGTACATAATTATATTTTCGAAAATAGAAATGACAAGTTATGTGGAACAGACGAAAATAGAAAATAGAGATAAATTATCTGGGACGGAGTGAGTATAATAACAAATTTGCTTTTAATGGAACTCGTCACATGATATGGTAAGTTTGGGTGATACGACAGTACCATCAACCAATCGTCATAGATACTATATATTTATAAAATACTTTCTCTGTTTAGCGATAGATAATCAATTTTTTTTTTTTATATCCTATATAAGATATTTATAAAATATTTTATTTTAAATATACTTAACAAATATAAATCAATTTAATTAAATTTATAACTTCTTAGAAGTACTTGCAAATTAGATTCGATAAAGCAAATTATACTAGACGAACTCTGGCAAATGGACTAGATGATGATCACAAGTTCACTCCCCACACTATCAGATCATCCTTATGAGACAGTATTTTATCTTATATTTATTTGTGTAACTTGTGTATTACACCCAGTTTGAAATTTATTATTATTTAATAAATATAACAGCATTAAGTAAGAAAAAAACAATAAGGGTACGATTGATTGTAAATTTTAGTTTTTTATTTTGAATTTTTAAACAATAAAAAGTTGAATTTGAATATATAAATAAAAGTTTATATAATTTTTTAATATAATATAAATTTGTAATATAATATAAATTATATATATGTTTATGGCATACAATCAAATAAGATAAAACATATATATATATATTTTTGGATAAAGAGATTAAAATGATAACGTGAATCATATATTAGGTTTAGATAAAAAAAATAAAATAAAAAAAATTAGTGTTTGGAGTTTTAAAAAGTTTGGAATAATAAAAATTAAATATTTTATTTAATAGTTTATGAAATATAGTACTATATTTAAAAATTTTATTATTATTATTATTAGTGTTCAAATACTTTAGTGTGTAAATGAAGGTTTATTTAATTATTTATTTGTATGATGTAAGAATTCACATTTGCTATTTTTTAAATATATTTTGAATAAATTTTTAATAAAATTTAATAATCCGTAAATTAAATTCGGTAAAATAAATCATATCAAACGAATAATGCGCAACGTACAAAACAAAGGTCTACTTATTAATAATGTGGTAAGTATGTGAAAGGTACCTTAAAGAAAATGGGAACATGTCTACATCCATATATCTTTAATTATTTTTAATTTCTACACAAAATATTGTGGTCATTCTTGACTCTTGAAATCAAATAATTACTACATTTCACCATCACTTATTTATTTATTTAATTACACGTATCAATAATTTCTAGCTATATGAAAGTGAGATGTTTGTATGAGTGATTGGGTTGCAATTACTCTATTAAATTTTACTAGCTTCGTCTGTTAACAATCTATCTATTTTTTTAATTTGGTTCATCTCATAATAAAGTTTTTATTTTTTTTATTTTTTTTTTAGTAATTGTACTATCTACCTAACATTACAAATATTTTTCTAATTTATAATATATTATACAAATGTCGTTACCTTTATATCATACAATAATAATGGGTTAATTTAGTCTTTTTACATTTATTTCTACTTTATCACAATATAATACTAATATTTCTAAAACTCCGTGCAAAAAATAAATAGATATATAGATATGAGACGGATGGAGTAGAATTTAACATAATTCATTGTAATGTTGATAGCATATAATACTACAATAGGGTGTGTTTTTTTAGAGGGGTTTGGCAGAATTTAGGTTTGTATTTTATTTTTATTTGAATTTTAGGATGAGTTTGAATTTTGTTGATTCTTTTGTATTTGAGTTTAGTTGGGGTTTTGTGAGTTTTGATGGGTATTGATTTGATGGATAATGAATAAAATAATATAAATGAGTATTAAATTTAATTGATAAAATTTATATTGTATGACCTGATTAGGAATTTATAATGTACCCAATATATATATGTATATATTTAAATTTTTATTTATTTGTATTATAAAAAAATTTATTCTCTACAAAAAGACATATATATTATATATTTTTTATTAAATTAAAATATAAATAAATATCAAATAATTATAATTACAGGTTCCTGTGCACGGCCGTGCATAAGACCCCTGAACTTTTCGAATTTAACTAAAAAATCTGTAGTATGTCAACAACTGTTGGACAGAAGAAAATTGGATGAGTAACACGTGACTTTCCAAACCTACAGTAATCGCTCATGTGAAGAAACATACCCATAATTTATATTAATATAATATAAATATAATCATAAAATCTCAAAACAATTGTTTATATACTTTCATTAATCTCAAAACACAGACGTATGTTCATATAATACATTTTAAAAATATGAAAGGTCATGATATAATTTCAATTGACACGACATCTGATGTATTAATTAAAATCATGTATTGTCGATTTATTTCTTATGTGTTGATTAGAACAAATCATATTAATTTTTGTCATTGTTATGATCGTCACAAAATCCTTTGTGATAAGGGTTTTTCAAACTAAATAATAGAGTTTAACGATAATTTATTTTTATTGATCAATATATTTTTAAATTATTAATTTTGTATATATATAAAGTAAATATTGATTTGACCTGATCAATATATAAAGTAAAAATAACCCATAGAAGTATATTCTAATGACTTGATTAAACACCTATGCTAATTACTTAAAACTTAATTATATTAATATATATAAGTAAATCACATAATTATTATAATTAGATATATATATATATACGCACCAAGTAAGGTGCTGAATATGTGTCATTATATTATTGGAAAGGGCTACGATACTGGATTTGGAAAATGAAAACAACACACGTCTTTATTAAATACAACATGTGTTGTTTGTAATAAAAATATGTGTTGTTAGTTAATAATTATAGCGTATGCTGTATGAGAGCATGTCATATGATAAAATCAAGTATTGTATGTGTTGTTAAGTCATGTGTTGTATTTGTATTATATTATTGTGCTTGAATAAATAATAATTAATTATACTCTCTCCGTGCCAAAAGTATAGTCTTATTGCGTTGGACACATAATTTAAGAAATATTGATATTATATTGATAGTGAATAAAAAGTAATGATAAATGATTTTTTTGCCATTGTGACTATATTAGTGTAAAAAGTAGTGGCAATTGTGTAATAATAATGAAAAAATAGAGATAATTTTACAGTGATATGATTATTTATGGAAATAAGACTATTGTTTTAGAACGGACAAAAGTGGTAAACAAGACTTATTGGGACGGAATGGAGTATTATGTTTTTCTTATAAATTACTCCATCTGTCCCGGTCCAAATGAGCCTTTTAGAATTTTGTATTAGATTAAAAAATAATAGTATTTTATTAATTAGTGAAATTGTGTAAGAGGTTTTGATATTTTTGTCCTTTAACCGTAAAAAATAATTGTATGTCTAATCATATGTTTATAATTTAATTAAAAGTTAAAATATTTTGATATTTCTATGGAAAAAAAAAATGAGTTGAGATTTAGAGTGTTTTTGTTTAGTATTTTGATGTGAATCTTTTTTATGTTAAATATAGAAAATTGTGTCAGTAATATAAAAAATATATTTTATATTTGAGTATTGATTTTTACAAAAGAATAAAAAATATATATTATCAATTGTGTTGAAAAAAATATTGAAAGAAAACGCCATTAGTTTTTATTGTATTTTATTATTATTATTATTGGATTTATTTCACGCACCAATAATTGATAGCTATATATTTGATTTTTATTTAAATTTGGAGTTTTTATTTAAGTTTTAATTTACATAATACTTTAATAAAATATTTTGTAGTAAAAATAGTAAACTTTTATTAAAAATTATACAATATTAAAATTAATTAAAATCATAATCAAACACACCCTTACTATTATTAAATAATATCAATTTTTTAATATATATATGTTACGAAAATTCCCAAAAAATCAAGATGAGACAATAAAGACAAAAGAACACAAGATTTGGTAACCCAGTTCGATCACGATGATCTACGTCTGGGGGCGCTGCCAGCCAGAAATTTTACTACGCTGAGTGAGAATACATGGATATTTATAACCAATGACTATGATAATAATATCCAAACTATATCTCCAAATTTCGGATATTATATCCAAATCATATTTAAATCATATCCCTAGATTTAAGGATATAATCAGGCTTCATATCTCAACAATCTCCCATTTGAAGACTGGTTTTATCTTCCACTTCAACATTTTACTTAATCTGCAATGACAACGCCAAACCTCCTTCTTCACTCATGGAGGCCCATTGAGGTTGAATACAACCTCAATTCATCTAAGGTCACCATCTTAGATTATCTTTCAAGATTGCTCATAAATCGGCTCTATCACTGCACGTGCTTTCCACCTCCTAAAGGTATCAAACGTATCATAATTACACTTAAGGAAATATACTCATACGTTCCTTGTAACGTCGTCAATTACCATGGGATAGTACTATGAGCCTCCAAGGGTCGATACAAAAGTTAGTTCTCGCAGGTCCGTATGAACCAACTCCAACTTTTTCTTTTCCAAGTCTCTTCCACCATTTGAAAACGCCACCTTTAGTTGCTTCCCAAAGATACAGTCCTCGCATACTCCAATATCGACGGACTTGAGACCTGACAATCTTCCCT